GACATACAGGGGAGCTAAGCTCTACATGGTGAGATCTTCGGCCTCTGAAGAAGAAGAGAAGGTCGTAACGTTGGGCCAATGAAAGGTTTCATCTAACAACCTCCTGTGGCAGAAGTAATTGAACATTGAACGTCTCTTACTTTTCCTACTAGCTTTTGAATTGTTGACATAGCTTGGGAAATTTACAGGTAAGTGTACCGTATAAAAAATGTCAGGAGATCTCGAGAAGAATAGTCTGGCGTCATTTTTCGGAACAAAATCGCAACTCTGAACGAGGCTCCGCCAAGGAAGACCCTGTCGGACCAGAATAACAAAGGTATTTCTTTGACTTCCATTTCCAATAATAAGGCTTTCATGCGTAGCGTAGCGTGCTGAGCCCATGGCTCAGACGACGACTGTGAGTGAAGCTGCAGACTGGTTTCAGTAGCACTTGATTACTTTCCTTTTTCCTTGCCTTCCTTTGCATGCAGTAACAACCTAGTCTAGTTTGCTGAGCAACCCTCACCTATATCCTTCAGATATGCTGAGAGATTACTACGCAAAAACTAACCGGTCGCTAGTGTTGAAGATTCATTCCAAGTCTCGAGTGTGAGCGACGCTTTTTGCTGTGTATTTCAAACTATGTGAGTTGTGCGATATGTCCCTTCAAAACTTAGGCGTGACATGTCTAGGGCTCCTTGATTTCCGCTGGCTTGGAGATCATAGCTAGTACAGCGGATAGCGAGACAGCGCAATAGCTCTGAAGAAGAAGCCGGCATTTGAGTTCCGCTTTTAGCGGAAAATTGTTTCTTCTCAATAGTTTGGTGTTCTTCAGGTCGAGCTCGCCAAAAGTCGAAAAGAGGTTGAGGAGTTGAGAAATGAAAACGCGTTACTCAGGAAGCGTTTGCCGGAAAATGGAGAACTGGACAATGCTGAGAATATTGAAGCGTTGATAGAGGCGCGCATAAAGGCGAGTACATTCAACGATGCCCCTAGATGGGGTCTTATTCTTGTATATTTTTTCATATTGCTGGTCTTGTTGGGAAGGAGAGAAAGGTCCGACTATTATGCAGAAAGTGTGTTTGCCATTAAAGACGCTATGGTAATTTCGGTCTTCTGAGTTTTGCTAAGCCTGCGACTCGGAGTAGGGAAGGGCATAGATGCGCTAACGCATGTTCCCCCCCCCCTCGGACTACGTTAGGACCAACATGGTGTATCTTTCCTTGTTTTTTCTTTTAAACATTTGGGAAGAGAATGGTTGTGTTTTCCAGAGAAAAATGGACAGGCTCGGCCACATCAGCACAAGAACAATCGCGCTTCTACACAAAAGTGCTTCGGCTCTGAAAAACGCATTCGAGGATTTCGGGTAGGGATGCATCACTTATTCCACAACCTTTTTGTCTTAAGACACTCCAGTTTTCAGCATAGAGGTCATGTCAGAAACGGATCATGTGTTTGAAGAAGATAAAGGTGGAAGGAGAACACTGTCAGCCTAGCGGTGAACCCCGTCTAAGCAGTGGTGAGCCTTCTCAGTCTACACATGAAGCTAGGAACACTTTTTTGTTCCTTATTTCTACCATTATCTAGTTTCTGAATCGCCACCTCTCATAAGAAAGTCGCAAGCGGTCTCTGGACATGTTGAAGATAGTGAGAATAGTAGGTTAATGGAGGATATTGAAACGCCAACAGTGAGTATACCTGTATGTTTACTTATTGAGCATTTGAATGCGAATCTTTTCTTCTCGTGGAAAGGTTTACTATGAGCGCATAGTGAATTCTAGTTTGGTGACGTCTCGAAGTATTTGAGTATTTCTCGGTAGCTGTCTAAGTTCAGAGCGATTTTTCGAATACTTTTTTTGGAGTCGTTTTACAGGTTTCTTTCACAAGAGAAATCAATAAATATTTCTTCATTAAGTGCACGCAAGTAACTAGACGGCCTCGTCGCAGTGAACTGTTCGGTCGAAGTCACGTCGTCGAATCACAAGGTGATTACATTTCATTGAAGACAAATTTCTTGAACTCTCTCTCCCTTGATTGTGCTTTTTTGATGGCAATATTGCATCCCGTTCGGTAAAATCATTTAGGCCGCTTTCATGCTTTGCGAATGCGTACGAGTCTCGAAAAAAAAATCTGTGTATCGGGAGAGCGCACATGCTCATCTCCCCATTCACGGATTGTAAATTCCTCTGGCGAGCCCATTTACGTTTTCCCCATGTGTATACTCTAATTCGCTGCGGACCGTTGGGCGTGTCAGGCAGTGTGTCACGCCGTCAAAGCCGTTCTCTGCCTTCTTGTTGAAGCGCGCATGCGACAAAAAGTGGTAGAAAACGAGTAATACGAACGATATGATACAGTCATATCACTTGCTCGCTTTAACAACTGGTGGAGAACGAATTTGGCACCGCGCCAAACTCATCCCGCCTGACACGCCCAACCGTACGCGGCGAACTACACTATATTTCTCGCATTCGCCGACTATGAACGCACCCTCTTTATGTAATACTGGCAAACTCTTTCTGTTCTTTTTCAACCAGCCTCAACTGCAGATTATGAAGAGCCCTCCACCCCACTCTGTGCTAAAACGTCATCTCCTCCGAAAGACAATGCCACAATCTCAGTAGCAACGCCTACATCTCAACCTAGGCGACCTGTTCTGGACACGCCAGCAGCCACATGGACGGAAACAGATACGGTATAAATAATTCCGGTGTTTTTTCGCCATTTGCATAGCGGATCATTCGAATAAGAAAGTGTTTGACACATTGAAGGCCGCGGCGTTCTTGCGGCTACTCCCGTTTTCACTTCCGCGTGAATTGCGTGCAATACACAAACGCGCGAAACGGGAGTCTTTGTGCCGCATGCCCCTTTACACGCTCATTCTGGTTACTTTTGCGCTCATTTCTACATTGTTCAATATGAATGATGACTTCTTTTAGCTGCATAGATGGATCTGGACAACGTAGAAGATCTAAACGTCAGTTTTGACAACATAAGTATTGTTATCATAATGAATTAAACACTATCAAAGGCGCTGTTTAGCGACGGGGGGCATTTTGTACTAACATTGCTTCCCTAGTTCCGGTTTACGAATCTCACCATGGTAAAACTTGTGAACGCCTGTGAAGCTGGAGTAAGATCGTCTAGCCACCATCCTAAAACGTGTCAACTCGAGAAAAGGCTACCTAGATGGGTCGGCACATCTATGAAAAGCCGAATGCCCCCCCCCCGTCGACAAACTGCGCCACTATCATATGTATTGCAAATTAAAAATAATTATCGCTAGTAGTCTTATTACCACTGTAGTGATGCGGAGCTATCATAAGAATGAAAATAACACTTAATTACTGACTGTTATTTTGTAATATTAATGAATTACTTCAATGGGGCAGCTTTTTTCGCGCCGCCACATGAAACAAAGCCATCAGAGCAAAGCCTAGCAATGAAACAGTGATACTCGGTGAGAATGGTTCAAGTCGCACTATTATCCACGAAAATACCGACCCACAAAACGTGAATTGTGGGCAATACACAAACGCGAGAAACGGGAGTATGCGCGTGTATTGCCTACAATTCACGCGGCGTTCAATGTGTTAAGAAGAAGCATCTTTGAAACCGCATATTCATATGCCTTCTATTCCATATTTTATTGGTTCCATCCGCATTTAGTTAGTATACCTAACGGTTTATGTTTTCTTTTGTTTCGGTTTGATTTGCCTTTGAGTTGGTATGCTACTAATATTCATGTTCTTTTTTTGTCGATGGTGCACGTAAGTGCTAGTAAACAAATAAACAAATATGCCGGTTTCCAGAAATTCCGTTGCGCATTTCGGATTAGGTTTTTTTGAGAAGAACAATAAATGGAGTCTATCAAATCTTACTTTCGAAACCTTTTGCTGCTTCTAGTGATTTTCGCTATACAGCGGGGAAGAATTTCTATGTTCATGACCACTTGATTTTATTTTCAGTTTGTATATCCATTTACAGGTGCGACGAAAACGAACAGCAACTCTAAAAATAAAAACGTTGACCGAGCCGCGGTTAAACAGCAAGTTACGTAGACCTGGACGAAACGACGAACCACACCCATTCATATCATCGGGAAACTTGTAAGGTGAGACCACGCAAGAGGATGCAGTTGTAGGAGTATAAATTTATCCGTTCCTCGCTTAATGATATTTCAGGATGTAACTTGACTTCCGTTTGAAAGGCGACTGTTCTATCCTCCTTGAGATGTGGAACTTCAGGACATTTTGCTTAGGAGGAAATGAGGAAACAGGGTTAAGAGAACTCACGTTCACGCATTAAAAGCACTTTTGGTGCCGTTTGCAGATGCTGAGTTACAGTTTCCTCATTGAATTTCTGCTATGTTTTCATCTTATCCTATTGCTGAACGGAGTTAGTTTCTTGCTCAAAACTGTTTTTGCTTGCAAGAGCGGGCTGGCTTTCAGTCCCAACCTTTAACCTTGAGTCCATAGCTTGTATATAAGTCTTAAGATTTATCGGTTTTTCATCAATCTGTGGTATAGCTCGCGTCCTACTTACTAGGTTTCTTTCACATTTTGCTCCTCACTTCATTTAACTATTTCATAAGCAGTTTTTGAGTTCTGTTTTGATAATTAAGAAGCAACCCTCTATGTAAATGTAATAAAATTGCATCTGTGATATTCATCTCGCCGAAAAGTGAAAGGTTATTGACGCAGGGCTGTTGTTATTTGTACATTTTTAGATTTTCGGAATTTTGTTATTATCATAACTATTGTGTTCATCTGCTGTGTACATTTCACTCTGTTTTCAATCGGTCGTAACTACGAAATCTGATATGCTGCGAGATCTCTGATTGTTACGCAGAGTTTTTTCTCTATACATCCCTCTTTTTTCGTTTTTTTTTCCTTTAGCAGTTGTTTAGCAACCCACACAACGTTTCAAGTTAATTTTTACTACAGTAACACCTTTATTTCCGGAACTGTAGACGTTTATACAGTTTAGTTACCCAAGTTTGAGGTATTTATGTCAACTGCTGCATGGTCACCACAATGTCTGGAATGAAAAATCGGTTCAAGCTGGAGATGCCAAAGCCACAGGAGACTCCAAACTTAAATCTAGACGACAAATGCAAGGTCAGACTCACAAATGATTCGGAAGAAATTGAGATCGCGGCTAAAGATTTAGAGGTTCTCGAGGAACTGGGAAAAGGTGGCTATGGAGTTGTGGAAAAGATGCGCCATCGACACTCTGGAATCGTGATGGCCGTGAAGCGGATTTCCTCCTCAATCAATGATGAATCTCAAAAACGTATGTTAACTGAACTCGACGCCTGCAAGCGGAGTGATTGTTGCCCCCAGATGGTGCGGTTCTACGGTGCAATGTTCCGCGAGGGTGATGTTTGGATTTGCATGGAAGTGATGGATACCTCACTCGACAAGTTTTATAAAAAATGCAAAGCTCTAGGAAGAAGGCTTCCTGAACCTTTCATAGCAAGAGTGACATTGTCGGTCATTGAAGGACTTAATTTCATGAAAGAAGACATGAATTTGATACATCGTGACGTGAAGCCGTCAAATATTTTGCTTAATCGACATGGGCAAGTAAAAATATGCGACTTTGGCATATCAGGGCACCTTACTAACAGTCTAGCAAAGACAGTTGCTGCTGGTTGTAAGTTCTATATGCCACCTGAACGCATTGATGGCGACATGAAAGGTTCATACGACGTGAGAGCCGATGTTTGGAGTCTCGGAATCACCATAGTGGAAATCGCAACTGGAAACTATCCTTACGAAATCTGGGTCACACCGTTTCAACAGCTGAAGCAGGTTATTGAGGAACCCGCTCCTCGGCTGCCTTCTGATGGTTCGTTTTCCGCTGATTGCCAATATTTTGTCCAGCGCTGCCTGGAGAAGAACCCTTACGAACGCCCGAAATACCCTGAGCTTTTGGCGATGCCTTTTCTTGATGGTGCTAGGAATGAGAAGCAATTCAGTATGGCAAGGTTCGTTGTAGAGATCTTGGATGCTCCACAACTTCTTCAAACTTCGACAAGCAAATGCATGTGAATTGGAACTTATCTAGCTGTATCGCTCATGGCATTAGTACGATTATTCATTCCAGTGTTAATACTTTCTCAATTTCAATCGATGCCACTGGTCAGTATTTTTGTATTGAATGTCATTTGGTGAACGCACAAAGTCAGTCTTCGGCGATATACGTCCTAACTACGTTGCATAAAAACGATTTCTCCCGTCCAATTATCAAAGCTTTTGATGTGTGCAGTTGGTGTATTGAACTTATTAGTGTAGATATCTCGCTAGTGTAGGCATCAATCGCGTCATTATTTGTTTAGTCATAGTTTTAGACGTAATTCACCCATAAGCCGTCTTTTTCACGTGTTTTTTTTCATGGGTTTTTTGTTTTTTTAGCAACCCGGCTTTCCAAAATGTGGCGGTGCGGATGTGATTGGTGGCCACGCGGATAGCGTGTGCGGAAGTGTGGAGTGTGATACTGGGTATAATTAAACGGTCTACTGACGGACGGGTGATCGGACGTAGGGCGGTGTTTATACGACTTTAAATTGTGAATAAAGAATTCCTTGCTAGAACATTCAATGGTTCGACTGATGTTTACCTCTGTGAATATTTGAACATGTATTGTTTGTCGAGCGACTGTTTTGGAGGAGCAGTTTGGCAACGGGGGAGGGGGCCGGGGCGCTTTGCACTTTTGCTACTTCCCATCGGTCTGTCGATCCATCTAGAGAGCTTTTCCTTGAGTTGACAAGCTCTACGAGGCTTGTTTAGCTTTACAAGAGTTCACAGCACCAGAGCGGTACTAGTCAATCGAACTGAGAAGCAGCGGAAGTGCGAAGTGCCCCCTCGGTCGTCGAATTGCCCTTTCTGATACTAATAGTTTTATATCAAGTTGACTTGGATGTGGGTGTAGCCCATTATGGGCAACTGCTTTAGCCTAAAACAAAAGAAGAAGGAACTTGATCGAGGTACGTCGTAGAAGTCGGTGTTTGTCCAGTTCAGTTGGCTTTATTTGTTTCGTTTCAGATCATCCAACAGTCAGTAGATGGTTAGCCAGTTGTGATTTTTCATCGGTGCCCGACGTCGATGACTTTTCTACAGAGGTTGGATGTCTGATCGTTCACCTAACTGTGTGATATATGATAGTGTACTGGGAGGCAGAACATGTGGTAGGTTATGTTTCTTGCCAATTTCAGACCTCTTTTTCCGTAGAAATGATTACATTGATGTGACAAAACAGAATACGAAAGAAGTTCGTCTCTGTAGAATTGCCTGATAGGGGACTCTCTGCTGGATGGTTTGCTCGCACTAGCAGGAAAGCCACATAGACTTTACCACTTCAGAAGAGGATTTTTATTTTCGGTAGTTAGACTTTGCTTCCTAAACTAGCTACGGTATGGAATACATGTATTCACCCAGGAGTAAAATGTTCAGATCAGAGGAGCCTATGAATCCCAAATGAATGGAATGAGTGATATTGAGTAAAGTTAAAGGCAGCTGGCACGATAATTCCCTGAGACGAGTAGGATTTCTGCATTTTTTCACGATCGCAAGCTATGAACGCAACCTTAG